TGGGCCCCGCACTTGGACAACGAGGACACCGACGACCTGGTCACTATTACCGCTACTTGGGCCTCCAGAGCGCTTGCTGCCGCCCTCGCTAAGTCCAAGAGGGCTTACGGTGCTTGGCTCGCCAAGCAATGGAAACACCGCCCTGGAGTACTACACGCCCATGTCAAGCCAGCGCCCGTGCGTCACATCGAGGCCTACACGACCAACCTGACCATCGCCGACCCCACCGTTATCATGGACAGCAAGAAGCAACAATGGCAACAAGTATGGCAGGCCACCGAGACCCCCGACGACATCCTACAGGCGCTGTCAAAGGCCAAGGCAGCAGCCGCTCGCCAACCGCTCGAGCCCATTACAGCCGAGATCGTACACCGCTTTCACGGCCGCATGCCACTCAGTAAAGCACATGGAGTTGACGCCCTCGGACCTCGCGACCTCCATCGACTACCAGAACCAGCAGTCGAAGCCTATGCGGATATCCTCAATGCGGTAGAGCAAGCAGGCATTTGGCCACTACAAATCTCAGGCACTATTGCAGCCCTAGCAGCCAAGAAGGCTGGAGGCGACAGAGTTCTCGGCATGCTACCTCACATGGCCAGACTCTGGTCTCGCATCAGGTCGTCTGCATCTACATCCTGGACCCAAGGCCTGGACGACTTTTGGACTACAGCCATCAAAGGCTCCTCGGCCCTCCAGGCCGCCCTACACAGGGCCTTGTTAGACGAGACAGCCTCAGCACTTGGCATACAGTCAGCCACGTTGCTATTAGACATCCAGAAGTTCTACGACAATATCAAGCTCGCCAACCTCATTATGGTCGGCCTCAACTGCGGCTTTCCCCCCATCATTCTACTTCTGGAAGTACAGCTATACCTGGCGCCCAGATTCTTGCGCAGTCGACAATGGGTGAGTATGCCTATCTTCGCCTCCAAAGGCATCATCGCAGGCTCCCCGCATGGCACGACCTTGGCACGACTCATATTACTTCCTAGTCTGCGTCAAGCCCAAGCGCAGGCAGAGCTGGCCCAGATGTGGACCTTCGTAGACGACACTGTCCTTCGAGTCGAAGGAGTCCTACGCACACTACAGAAGCACCTCCCCCGTGCCGCCAAGACGCTTTGCGACGGTCTAAAGGAGTTCGAGCTGCCCATCTCTGACAAGACGGTCCTCATCGGCTCCACCCCCAAGGTCCGCAAATCGCTAGCCAAGAAGTTGCGGCAGTACGACATCCCTGTTACAGCGACCGCCACGGCCGTCGACCTCGGAGTTGACGCGGCTGCGGCTACTCGACGGGCACAAGCCAAAGCCAGGAAGCGACAGAGCCCAGCCGCAGCTAGGTTTCGCAAGATACACCGACTACGGAGCACTGCGCAGCAGGCCCGAATCTCGGCAGGACTGTGGCGTACTGGCGCTCTCCCCGAAGGAGTCTTTGGCCATCAGGTACACGGCCTCGCTCGACACGCTCTACTACGATGGCGCCGTCAGGCCGCCATCGCGGCCACGGGGGCAGCAGCGGGCCGATGCCCCACCTCCCTCCTCGGCGCCACCTTCGACGGCATGGACCCAGGAGTTTCCCTAAGGATCGAATTCATCGAGGCTTGGCTCCAGCACTGGATTCGCCACCCGAGCACGCACGCCAGGATCATCAGAGCATGGCCAAGGATCAGGACCACTTTACTAGCCGCAGGCCCCAAGCTGTGGTGCAGGGTCAAGGGGCCCACTGGCGCGGCCATCGCGACCCTGCTGGAAGCCAGCTGGGAGCCGACCTCAGCTACCACGTGGAGGCGCACGAAGGACGGCTACATCGAGGAGTGGAACCTCCCCTCTGCCGACGACCCTGACCTCCCCGACGCCGACATTCACACAGTATTGCAGGACCTCGGCGAGGATTTGCACAGGCTCCTCTGGACTCAGGCCGCCACGCACGACCATGGTGACACGCTGGCTGGAGGAGCGGACATGGTCACCATCCGCATGGAACAAAGGAGGCTCCCCGCAAACGGCGATTTCAGCGATTGGGCCCTCAACAACACTGTCATCAGTGGTGGACAATGGACCAGGGACCGCCTCCACAGCGCGGGCTACCAGATCGACAAGAACTGCGACCGATGCAGCGCAGGAGTTCCTGAAACCCTGTTTCACCGCATGTGGCAGTGCGAGGCGAATGTGGGACCTGAGTTTGAGGCCAGTGACAAGCTACTACCGCGAGCCGTGGCGGGGGCCGAAGCTGACCCTGCCCTGTGGCTCCGTGGCATTCCCTCTGTCGCTCTCACTACGCCCGCGTTCGAGCCATTGACTGGGAGGGACGGGTGGGAGTTTGTTGGTGCGGTGCGGGAGGGGTTGCCGTCGTGGGAAGGAGCTCGTAACGCTGAGGGCGAGTTGTTTCTTTTTGGCGACGGGTCAGGCGGCGCCTTTTCCGACGACGTCAGACGAAGACGTGTTGGTTCTGGCCTCGCGGCCCTCCGATGGGACCCTCCCTCGGCCTCCTGGACCCTCCACGCGGGTCTCCTCGCCCCCCTCCCAGGCCCCCGCCAGACCGTCCCAAGAGGCGAATTGCATGCGTTTTGCCTGGCACTGGAGACGTGCCAGCAGGATTTCACGTTTGTCACTGATCACCTAGCCCTGCAGCGCGGCTGGCAGAATGGCAGATGTCTCCGACCTGGCAGCCTCAGAGGCAAGAATAAGAATGGGGATCTCTGGCTGAGAATTCGGCACCTCGTGCAGGATCGATCTGGCGGCTGCTCTTCGGTCTCGGTGCTCTGGACCCCATCTCACGCCGATCCCCTCACTTTGAATGGTTTCCAAAAATTTATGGCCCTCGGCAACCAGCATGCCGATGAGCTCGCGGGAAGCGCGGCCCACAAGTCGGCCACCCTTGCCCTCCCGCCTGTCCCCAGGACCGATGAATACGACGCTATTGCAGCCATCGTCCGACAGAGGGCTCGACTGATTTTACGTTCTTTAGGCAAGAATTCAGAGCCTCGAGGACTGTGGCCAGACAGGCAATCCACCCAGGAGGCAGCCCCTCGCTCTCAGTTGCAGACCGCGATCGCGGCTTCTCAGCACAAATTCGAGCGGTGTGCCGACAAATGGAGATGCCCTGCCTGCCTCATCATCGTTGACGCTTGCCACGTTATTCCAGCTGCCGCCACTGAGTGTGCGCCGCCTAGCCCCCTCCCCGAGTTCGCCGCGTGTGGAGAGGTGCTGTGGTCGAGGGGTCCCCGCGTGATCAGTGGCAAGTTGATCCACCCCTCCCACTCTTTGGCCACCATCCCCAAGTGGCATTTGTACTTTTGTGTGAAGTGCGGCCATACGGCCACGCACCAGGTTAAAAGTCTTCTTTTGCCGTGCCCTCTCTCCCACCAAGTGGGAGAGCGCAGGGCCCTGGGACCCACTGGCAAAGGCCTCGAGAACCTCAGCAGGATCAGGCGAGGCCTCCACCCGTCCAGAGCGGGTCCCAGCAAGTCTGTGCTTGAGGCGTTGCACGTTTCGGCAGCCGAAGCCGCGATCGGTTCCTTCGCGGCGGGTGCCGCCACCGAGTAAATTGTGAGGCCAGGGGGGCCTGTCGCGGTGGGCCGTGGGATGTCGCCCCCCACGGCCCTCCGAGAAATACTGGATGGCCCCCCTGGCATCTCTGGGCTCGAACGGACTACGTCCGATTGCTCCACTCCACTCCTCCTACCTCCTCCTCCTCCTCCTCCTCCTCCTCCTCCTCCTCCTCCTCCTCCTCCTCCTCCTCCTCCCTCCTCCTCCTCCTCCTCCTCCTCCTCCTCCTCCTCCTCCTCCCCTCCTCCTCCTCTTCCTCCTCCTCCTCCTCCTCCTCCTCCTCCGTCTCCTCCTCCTCCTTCTCCCCCTCCTCCTTCGGGTCGCCTACGGCCCCCGGGGAAAACCGTCCACGAGGGGGGTGAGGACTAGGGGGGGGGGGGGGACATCATGGCGGGGGCCATGATATTTCCCTAGATTTCATGGCGCCTCTTCTCATTTCGTTGCGTCCCTGGCCCACGCGCTGGGCCGCGCACATGCCGCCGGTCATGATTTGCGCCCCCCCCCCTCTTGGACACCCCCCTCTTGGCCGCTCCCGAGGGGGTGTCCTCTGGGGGTCCCAGACCCGTTCCAATCAGGACCCGTTCCAAGGCCCCCTCGCGCTTTCAAAAAATCAAGACGGGAGGTTTGTCCTTGTTTTCGGCCTTCAGGGGCCCGTACTGGGACTCGGGTGCGTTCAAAAATAATGCAGGATGAAAAATTGGTCCTGGAGAAGGAGTTCAGACTTCTGGAGGTCATGGCCGTAAACAAAAATCACGACGTGGGGGTCTGGGTTTCCTGCATGACCTCCCCCCCGCCCTTTCAAGAGAAGTCGGCGCTGCCGCCCCCGGGCTTGCAGAGTTGGCCATGCGGGCAGGATGTCAGCATCCGGACTTCGGACAGCTGGCACCGCCGCTGGCGAGCGGGATCCTGAGCGGAGACGGCATCCTCCAGGCCACACTGATGGCCCAACTCTGTACCACCACTACCATAGTTAGGAGAAGGAGGAGGAGGAGGAGGAGGAGGAGGAGGAGGAGGAGGAGGAGAACCTCCTCAGCATCCCTTCTCCCCGTCCTACATATGGTAGTGGTACTGAGCAGTGTGCCCCTCACACACGGCCCCTTGAAACGTGGCACCATGGCGTGCCGCGTCAGACGTCCGGGGCAGCTCTGATCCTTCCGGGGTCTCCTGGCCAGCGACGTCATTAGCCGAAGGGCAGTCGCGCTTCCCATCCCTGGCAGGCCTTCGGCTCTCGCGGGTCTTCGGCCTGGAGGTTCCGCCGTGCAGTCGCCGACGCACGCGCTCTGGTGAATGGCACCCTCCTCCATAATATCCTTCTCGTCTTCAGTATTATTATCCTCTTCCTTATCCGCCTTCACGTTCATCTCGCCCGCGCTTTCCTCATCGTCGTCTTCTTCCTTCTCCTCAAAGGGCGCTGCAAGGACGCACGCATCCAGCAAGCCCCCCCCGCTGTCGAGGGACATCGACGACGACAGAGACGTCTTCGACGACAGAGACGCCTTCGACGACAGAGACGTCTTCGACAGAGATTTCTACGAGAAGAGCAAAACTCTCAAGGATCGCGGAGGAAAAGCATTATGACGAGGAGGGAGAGGCGACGACGAGGAGCAATGACGGGGCACGAGAAGGAGGAGGTGAGAAGGAGAAGGGAGTGTGATCCAGAATATAGAGGAGAGCAGGGGGGGGAGGAGGAGGAGGAGGAGGAGGAGGAGGAGGAGGAGGAGGAAGAGGAGGAGGGGGAGGAAGAAGGAGAAGAAGAATAAGAAATGGATGGGGCGATTCGGAGGGAGGTGGGCGCACTCTTTCTAGGAAACAAGCGATCAGGCCGCAGTCGATCAGAAGGGACAGGCGTCATTGCCCTCCAGAGCAGTCTTGCCCATCGCCAAGTTGGACGATGAGCAGGACGGGGCGCCATTCTTGTTTTATGCGAGGGCCCAAATCAGAAGGGGCGGCGTGCCCGCGTACCAGAAGGGCACAGCTAGATCCCAGCGAACACAATACTGTAATAAGTCTTGACGCTTCGCGTATCCCCACCAGCTCTGCCTCTTACTGGATGGTGCTCGGACACCCCTCATTGACACTTGTGTTCAGCGGCTTTTGGCTGCGCCCCCCCCCTGCCCTGAGACCTGCCCTGGAGCACCTTCCTTCGTCGCCGACCCGGCCATGGTTCTACTACAAGGACGTCTTGGCCCGCCGTCAGCACGCCGCCAGCGAACGGTACGGCCCAGCAGCTCTGCAGCTGCCAGCCATCGGCTCGCCCCAGCGTCGGAGGTATTCGGCTTCTGCACGGGCAGCGTGGCAGGTGTTGAGTGGGTGCGGCTGTCCGCCATACTCCTGGTGATTGGCTTCGTCAAAGTGAACGGCCCTGCATTGAGTGGTTCAGCCTTCTGCGGTTCGAGTTCGTTTCACTCTTCTCGGCGCAGCCACAGCCACCAGCCCTCGTCAGTACATTGCATCGTTGTGCCCCCGAACAGCGTGATTCGGATACGGTGTGAGCGCACAGGCTACCGGCTGGAGGTTGCTCAGCCTCGCGAGCGCACACCAGTGGTCTGCCTCTACTGGATGGCGCTCTGACGCGGATCAGCCACACCCCAGCTTCAGTGAGCCTTGGTGAGTCGGGCCTCCCTCGCCGCATCATCGTATGTTCGTGGAGCCGCAGTGAGTCTGAGTTAGTTGCTCTCGCTCGCGCTCGCCCCCTTTTTCCGAGGTGTTGGACGGCCTGGATCTGTGTGCACACACGTGGGTTCCGCCTGGTCATTGGCCACTCGGACTCGCGTTCTGCCCGCGGCTCTTACAGTGCCTTGCTGTCCGTCTTGGCCTCGCTTCCGATTGCGGTTCGGCTGGAGTTTGGCGCCGCAAGGGCGACTTCTCCCCCCCGTTCCGTTGCCGGTTGCCGCGCCTTTTGCTTCCCCACCAGCCGGGCTGTCTGGGCCGGTCACCAGCAGACGCTGGAATGCGTCTCGATGAGGGGCATTTTGCCCCTGGCATGTGCATGTGCCGCTGCGTGTGTTGTCCGCTGGAGTCTGCGGCGATCTCGCGCCAATTATCTACGTACCGCGCCCCGGACGGTGTGCTCGCCCCATGTCCCTCGCCTTGGAGCCGCGAACCAAAAAAACACACATCGCCACCAGCGTAGGCCCTCGCGCGCCCCGCCCGGACCCTGACTCGCCGCTGTTGCACTCTCGCCTGCGGCTGCCGACAAAAGTATCCCCACCAGCCCATCCAGAAACGATCGGCAGGGGAGTTGGTGAATCAGGGGCTGCAGGACGCACGCAGTCGCGCAACCGTCTTCGGGAAAACAAGGATCACACATAGCTTGCCACGTTGAAGTTTAAGATGGAAATCGGTGCAAGCGACGATGGTGCTTCGATGAGAGGTGAGGGGTGTTTCGATGACTCGTAATAGCTGTTGCACTGATGTGTATCCTAAACTCGTGTGCGTTTCGAAACTTGGAGCCATCTTGGGGCTCTCTCGGGGTTCTCTTGGGGACCTCCTGGAGCTCTTTCTTGGGGCAACCTTGAGGTCCTCCTAGGGCCTTCTTGGAGCCCTCTTGGGGCTCTTTTGGGGAGTCTTAGGGCCCTCTTGGGGCTCTTTGGGGGTCTGGGAGGCCTCTTAGGGGCCGTCTTAGGCCGCATGGATCAAACAAATGGGGAGGATAAGCTCGTAATGCCATCTTGGCGCCATGTTGGGGCTGTCCTGGGGTTCTCTTGGGGCGCTCTTGGGGCTCTTTTGGGGGGACGGGGGGCCTTCTTGGGGCTCTTTTGGGATGCCTGAGGGGCCTCTTGGGGCCGTCCTGGGCCTTTTCGCTAAAAAAGAGGGGGGTCCTTAATTCGGACCCCCCCATCGGAGGCTCAAAAGTGCCGTCCTGGGGCCCTCTTGGCCCGCTCTTGGAGCGCTCTTGGGCGCTCTTGGGGCCGTCTCGGGGCCCTCTTGGACCCCTCTTGGGGCTATCTTGGGCCGTCTTGGGGCCACCTTGATGCCTCAAGAACCCATCGGAGGCGAAAAAGCGAGACGGCAAACAACATTATTGTTCATCAGGTTGTTGAAGGAGTTTGGCCTCTTGGGGGTCCTTGGAGGCCTCGGAGGGCAACCGTCTTGGGGCCGTCTTGAGGCCTCTTGGACGTGTGTCGTAGGCTATCTTGACCCATCGACCCCTATCTTCGACCATCTTGGAGGCCATCTTGCGCTCTCTGAAGCCCTCTTGGAGCCATCTTGGACCAACAAGGACCCTCTGCCACATCGCGGGGAAGCCCGTCCAGACGCAGGGAAGGGGGGGGCGAGGTAAACCTCCCGAGCAGGGAAAGGCAGGAGGTCGGAAAAGGAAACGCTCTAGACCACCTGCGCCCAGAGGGCTGGTAGGATAATTGGCCCGGACTCCGACTTGGTTCCCCGCCCCTTTTTTCTATTGGCAGCAGATCTGGGAACGCCTAGAAACATCGACGTTGGCCCGAAGACGCGCTCATAACATTACGATTCGATTAGTTCGTCGTACCACTGGCAGAAGGTGTGTCGCCACGGTGCTTGCTCCGACGCACGGCCTTACGTCTTGGGGAGGGCGCTTCAGACAACAGGTCACATTCCGTCTCGGACACAGGGCTTGCCGTGGGGCTTGCCGCGCCGCCAGTCGCGTATCCTGGGGCGCTGGGCGCAGGTCTTGCCGTGGGTTTGCCATGGTGTCGGCGTCGTCCATTTGGGCGCTTCAAGAACACACGGCGCGGCGACATGCACACCAGCGCACATACTGGAAAACCTCAAACACTTGTCTGGGCATCCCCTTGGCAAGCTACCTGGAAGGGCCCTCAAGATCTGGATCTTGCACCTGGCCACAGCAGCGCGGGCATCCGAGAGCGCCCCATGGGGGAACGCGGTCCAAGCTTGCGTGTCCTCCTCCTCCTTTTCCTCCACGGGTTCCTGCGCCGTTCGGCACGCTCTGAGGCTCTCCGCTGACCTCTTGGGCGGCGCTGGGCCTCGCAGCGCATAGATGATCGAACAGACCTGCTCTTCAGGTGACTCTCGCTCCTTCCCTCGTACCTGCGGATGTGGGGCTGAGCCGGTCGGGGCAGTCGCCATGCCGTCGTCTGTTCCGCGTTGTCGCTTTTTCTTGCTGTGAACTGTGGACCTGAAGGCGATAGAGTCGTACCAACGCCGCCCTCCCCCCGGGGCCGGTCGGCCTTTGGGTGGGGGTGATCCAACTAAAGCCAGGCGACTCTTGAAACAGAGCTCCAGGAATCGCTGGTTGATGGGGTTCGCAATAATCGGCGTTCGCGCTTCTCCTCCTCATTCTTCATTCCGTTCCTTGTGATTTTTCTCCCTTTCGCATCCCGAGGTCAGTCGGAAAGACGGGCCAGGCCTTTCACTTGAGATTTCCTCACCACTTGCGCCGTCAAGGCTACTTTGCAACAGCTTCACGGATGAAGGGCGGACGGTTTTCAGAAGGTGGTTCTCGCCTTCGCGTCGCGCGCATTCGTTTCAAACATGCGCCGGAGTTTTACGAATTGAGGATTGTTTTTTGTTGCAACGTGTGGCTCTCGTTGTACAGCAGCGCACATTATTTTAAATATTATTTCAATCGCTTCACGCATTGAAGGCGGGTGCCGTGGCGCCATGCACATTTTGTTTCATAAATGTGCAATGGCTTCACGGATGGAGGGCGGGTGGTCTTCAATATGTGGATCTCGGCTGAACGCCGCGCGGACCCGGTTAAAGAATTCACAAGGGGTTCGCGGATTGAGGGCGTCTCGTTTTCAAATTGTTGGTATCGCCATAGCGCCGATCATATTCGTTTAATACATATTTGCAATGTTACACGAGTTGACGGCGGGTCATGTTCACAATGTAGCTCTCTGAAGATTCGCAGATTTCCATGCCTAACGTACCAGGGTCGCATTCGAACGATTCCGAGTCGTCCAGGCGCAATCGTTAAAGCGATTTGCGGCGTTGAATTCCCAGTATGGCGGTTTGTCACGGCTCAGGATCGCCAGGGCGCAATAGTCAGGTGAATTCGTGGTCCTGAAATCTTGAGGAAAAGTGTTCGGAATGCTTCCGGATTTTCACACGGCTGTTTTGCAACGGGGCAATCCTTTCAGTGGAAATGAGCGTTTGCATGGGACTATGAAACAAAAGGGAATTTGTAGGGAGGGTGTATTCCAACATTGTTAATGGGTCTTGGGCTTGCACTGGTCATCCTCCTTCTCCTCCTTCTCCTCGTCCTCTTTCGCATACCGGACTCACGGGTTTGCTTCCATATTTCCCTTAGGAACCCCAGGAGTGCCCAGCTGTTGGACGCATTGACCCCCACGGCTTTATCTTAATTCGTGTCCCCCCGTATCCCCCAAAGATATCAAGTTCAGTCTCGGCTCCCATTCCAAACAAACTGTGCGAGAGAGGATGCGACTTTTTTGGTGGTTTCGGAAGTCACATTACTCACCTGGCGCGGGTGAACAACCAACCAGAAAGACCAGCCGCGACACGGGACAATTTGCAACGAACGGAACATTTGTCCGGTCGACCGAGTAATTATTTCAAGCGAGCGGGGGGAGTCCCCGGGTGTTTTAGGA